TAATAAAATTATAACTACATCAGATAATGAACAATCTGATAATGAATTTGAAGAATTTGATAATGAAGAATTTGATCCTAATCAAATTTTAATTTATCAAGCAACAAGTATTGCTGAAAGTACTAGTGCAACAGAAGCATTTGAAAATTTATTAGTTAGATCTGTTTCAAGTATGAATACAGGATCTAATATTAAGAGAAAAAAAACAGAAATTGAAGTTAGTAAAGAAATAGTTGCAGTTAAAAAAAAAAGAACAGAAATTGAATATAATGAAGAAATAGTTGAAATTGATAATGAAAGTGAAAATGAAATTATATCAAGAGATAAAGATTTGGATCAAATTCAAGTATACCAATCAAAACAAAAAGCAAAACAAGTTATAATTCAAGAATTTGTTGTTCATAGAATTCAAGTTCGAAATTATAACAAAACACAAAGCATTTTACATCTTTCTGGATGTTTATTTCAACAATATTTAGTAGATCAGTATGTCAAATGGGAATCAAATACTTTATGATAATATAGAAAAAATCAATCACAATTTAGATCTGAAATTTATTCAGGTTTATAGGACATTATTGATTCTGATGATACTACTATAGAAAATATTGGCAAAAAAGGTATTTTAGCATCATCTTTTACTGGATCTTAACAATATATGCAACAACTATATCAAGATTCTATGATAATTGTTAGAGAATATGACAAACCTGATTTATTTGTTACTGTAACTTGCAATCCCAAATGGCCAGAAATAATCAATGAATTATTAAATAGATTAGAAAATAAAAAATAACAAACTTCTGATAGACTTAATATAGTTGCTAGAGTTTTTAAACAAAAACTTCAAGTAATTACACAAGATTTATTTATAAATAGTATACTTGGAAGAGTTAATGCACATGTTCATACAATTAAATTTCAAAAAAGAGGACTGCCACATGCACATATTCTTATGATATTTGCATCTGAAGATAAGCCAAAAACACCTAAAGATTTTGATAAAATAGTTTGTACAGAAATTCCTGATAAAAATCTCCAACCTCTGTTTTATGAAACAGTAAACAAAAATATGGTTCATGGCCTCTGTAAAAACTTGAATCCAAATTTACAATGTATGAAAAATAGTAAATATAGTAAACATTCTCATAAAGAGTTTACTATAACAACATTAATTAATAAATTTGAATATCCAATTTATTGAAAAAGAGATAATAGAAGAACAATTAAAAAAGGACAATATATTATTAATAATAGATAGATTGTTCCTTACAATCCATATCTTTGTCAAAAATATAATTGTCATATTAATATAGAGATATGCTCAAGTATTCGATCAGTAAAATATTTCTACAAATATATTTATAAAGGATCTGATTGAGCTATTATTAAAATTGGAAATCCTAAAAATGAAATTGAGCAATATATAAATGCAAGATATGTTTCTGCTATTGAAGCATGTTGGAGATTATTTAATTTTGGCTTGCAAGAAAGATCACATAAAGTTGAACGATTACCAGTTCATTTAGAAGATCAGCAATCTATTATTGTTAATCAAAATGAACAAATATCTACTGTGTTGGCAAAATCTTTTAATACAAAATTAACAAGATATTTTGATATGTGCAATGCAAATCAAGATGATCCTGATATAATGAATTTACAATATATAGATTTTCCAAAATTTTTTGTTTGGAATAATAGATTCTGGAAACAAAGAAAACAAGGTAATAAAAAAATTATTTCTAGAATGTATATATGTAGTCCACATGAAAAAGAAAGATTCTTTTTACAAATGTTATTAGCTCAAGTCAAAGGTGCTATTAATTTTAAAGCAATTCAAACTGTAAATAGAATACTTTATAATATATATGAAGATACAGCTTGCCAACTTGGATTATTGGATAAAGAAAATAATGAATTTGATAAATGCATTAAGGAAGCTGCATCTTTTAAAATGACATCAAAATTATAACAATTATTTGCTTCAATCTTACTATTTTGTGATCTACAGAAATTGGATTCAAAAAAATTATTTTATGAAAATATATATTTTTTAGTTGAAGATTATAAAAGAAAACAAAAAAGACTTATAGAAAAAAATGAATTAATTGCAGATGAATATCAAGTAATCATTACCAAAGTATTAATAGATATTGAAAAATATTTATCATATTATGAAAAACATTTAACTGATTATTCATTTCCTGCACCTGATTATAGTTTAGTAGAAGATGCTGAAAAATATAGTATATGGAATCACGAAGTTGATTTTGATTCAAATGAAATCAATTATATATTACAAAAAGAATATCTTTTGAATATTGATCAAAAATTAATTTATAATACTATTATTAAAGCTTTAAATGAAAATAATACAAATGATGAAAATAATACAACCAAACAAAAAGTCTTTTTTGTTGATAAACCTGGAGGTACAGGAAAAACATTTTTATTCAACATGCTATTGGTATGAATAAGAAGAAGTTTTGGAATTGCTCTTATTATTGCTTCATCTAGAATTGCAGTTTTATTATTAACTGAAAGAAAAACTGCACATTCCAGATTTAAAATTCCTTTAAAAATTATTAAAACTATAACTTTAAATATTAGTAAACAGTCTGATTTGCTGATTTAATACAAAGTAGTAAGCTTATTATTTGGGATGAAGGACCAATGGCATACAAATATGCATTTGAAGCACTTGATCGAACACTCAAAGATCTAATAGAAAATGATGAACCATTTGGAGGAAAAATTATTGTAATTAGTGGTAACTTTAGGCAAATTTTGTCTGTTGTACTTCGAGAAACACAAACACAAATTGTTAATGTCTATATTAAATCTTCTTATTTATGGAAACATGTTAAAACATTGGCATTAACAATTAATATAAAACTTCAAAACCAAGATGAAGAGGAAAAAAAATTTGCTGATTATTTATTAAGAATTGGTGAAGGTCATGAACCAATATATATAGATATTGATAATAATATTGTGAGATTAGATGATAATATAATCTTTAATAATGAACAAATTGAATCATTAATATTGGATACATTTTCTGATATTAATAATAATTATCAAACTGATAATTATTCAAATTATATTAAAGATCAAGCTATTCTCACATTAAAAAATGAAGATGTTGATTATATTAATGAACAAATTATTAATATATTTCCAAGACATTCATATGAATTTTTATTAGTAGATTCTGTTAAGGATAAGGATTTAGTACATCAAAATTTTTATTCAGTTGAATTTCTAAATACTTTGACACCAAGTGGAACTCCTCCTTATAGATTAATATTAAAAGTTAGAGTTCCAATAATTTTATTACATAATATTAGTCCAAGTGAAGGTCTTTGCAATGGAACTAGATTAATTATTAAAGAAATTCAACAACATGTTATTGATGCAAAAATTGTTACAGGCTCACATCTTGGAAAACGAGTTTTTATTTCTTGAATTCGAATAGCACCTTCTGACTCTAATTTACTGTATTTCATAGTCTAAAGTACCTCCCAGTATGAATTTTTATCAGCTTGCATATCAGGTTTTATTTCGTGTAATCATTATAAATTTAAAGTAAAAAAAATTGTGAATGGTACATTATACACCCGATATGTACCATGGAAATATCCGCATGAGCCGATAAAAATTCATACAGGGGGGTACTTAGACCGCGAAATACGGTATATTACATTTTAGAAAACCTTTAAATGTGTATTTGTCATATTTTGATTTATGTTATATGGGGTGTAATATATTAAAACAGCGATTTTAAATAATGATCTATAAATAATAATGCATATAAAATTTTCAACTTAAAGTTCATTTAGTGAATCTTTTTTATTATATAATTGGCTTTGGTAACTTATAACAAACTTTTTTGTTGAATATATGAGTGAAAATTTAAATATAAGTCATATTTAAATCGTCGGGTTTTCTTTTAGCGACACTCATATCTACAAATAAAAATGGGCTGTTTTAACACACCCCATATGTTTTGGTTATTGTTTTCATTTTAATTTCAACGTCTGTTATTTGGCATATTAATTCTGTTATCAATTATAAAAAGTTTTTGTTGAGGCACGGGCCAACGGCTAGTAGTACACATGCTCTGTGAAGGTGAAACATGTGAAGCTCTGATATGCATTCACACTCTTGCTTCGCCATACGCATATATCCAATAATAATTTTCAATATCACTCCATTCCTGGTATAAATAATAAACATTTACAAAGCAGACCTATCAATAATTAAAGCTCCGGTTTATAAAATGGTTTACAACAAAACATATTTGTTTGTCAAAATCGTTTATTTCTCAGAAATTTGTATAAGAAACCGGCTTTTCCTTGAGCGATTTTACTATATAACCGTCCAACCTTTAAACTTATTCTAAATGCTAACATTAAATAATTTATGCTGCGCCACAAATTTGACACATTTCAGATATGCGTTGTACCTGTATTGCTGTAAAAAATCAGAACCCTTAAAAATCTCGTGTAACCTAAAATTCCGACTACCGTATTATATCTAATCCCTGCCTTGATCTTAAAATGCACTCTAACTCTAAATTTTAGCAAGCTTATTACCACATATATATAAAATCATAACCCTTTCAAAATGATAATGTTGCCGAATGAATGCCTTTTTGAAATATTTAATAATTTTAGAACTAATCGGCAAAGCTTATTTTCATGCCTTCTCGTAAATCGTCGATGGTGTAGAATCATTGTACCAATATTATGGTGTGAACTTTATTTTAGCGATGAAAGACTTATAAGAACATGTCTTTTAGCATTAAATGCTGAAGAACAAGCTCAGTTGATTCCTTTTAAAATTGTTCTTCCAAATTATCCAAGACCATTATTTGAGTATGGAAGTTATACTACATCTGTTGGTTACGGTTTGGCCTATAGAGTCAAAATTTGGCTTAGGAATAATGGATATTATTTCGAAAAAAATAATGATGAACTTGCAAATGCTATTAAATGTACTTTAATTCTAATGTTTTTGCGAGCAAGTAAAAATCTTAAACACTTAACACTTGACAATATTATTAGTAAGACAATATTAACAAATTCACTTTGTAAGAATACCACGCTGACTTCTTTGAATCTTGAAAATTATAATCTTGGATCAGAAGGAGGAAAAGCATTGGCCGATTCACTTTGCAAGAAAACCGCACTGGCTTCTTTGGATCTTGATAATAATAATCTTGGATCAAAGGGAGGAAAAGCATTGGCAAATGCACTTTACGAGAACACCACGTTGACTTCTTTGATTCTTGTAAATAATGATCTTGGATCAGAAGGAGGAAAAGCATTAGCAGATGCGCTTTGCAAGAACTCCACACTGACTTCTTTATCTCTTGGTTACAATAATCTTGGATCCAAAGGAGGAAAAGCGTTAGCAGATGCGCTTTGCAAGAACACCACGCTGAGTTATTTGAATCTTGAAAATAATAATCTTGGATCCGAAGGAGGAAAAGAATTAGCAGATGCACTCTGCAAGAATACCACACTGAATTCTTTAGATCTTGGCTGTAATTATCTTGAATCAGGAGGAGGAAAAGCATTAGCAGATGCACTTTGTAAGAACACTACGCTGACTTATTTGAATCTTGAAGATAATGATATTGGATCAGAAGGTGTAAAAGCATTAGCAGACACGCTTTGTAAAAACACTGCACTGGAAGATTTGAATCTTCGATTTAATGAGCTTGGACCTGGAGGGGGGAAAGAATTAGCGGATGCACTTTGTAAGAACACTACGCTGACTTCTTTGGACCTTGGCTATAATTATCTTGAATCAGGAGGAGGAAAAGCGTTAGCAGATGCACTTTGTAAGAACACTACGCTGACTTATTTGAATCTTGAAGATAATGATATTGGGTCAGGAGGAGGAAAAGCATTAGCAGATGCACTTTGCAAAAACACCACGCTGACTTCTTTGGATCTTGATTTGAATCAACTCGGATCAGAAGGAGGAAAAGCATTAGCAGATGCACTTTGCAAGAACACCACTCTGACTTCTTTGGATCTTGAGAATAATCATATTGGATCAGAAGGAGGAAAAGCATTGGCTAATGCACTTTGCAAGAACACTACACTGACTTCTTTGAGTCTTCGATGCAATAATCTTGGATCAGAAGGAGGAAAAGCATTGGAAGATGCACTTTGTAAGAACCATACCCTAAAAATATTATACATTTGGAATAATGGAACTAATTTTAGTGTAAAACCTAATAATTCAAGTATCAGAATATATCAATAAATTATATTTAGTGATACATGTAAACACAATTGTAACGTAATGTAATGCAAAATAATCCGTACTAAGCTAAAATTTAAAATATCGGTCAAATATTTTATGTGCTTAGTTATGATGCTCTCTTCAGAGAGAAAGGGGTAGGTAAAGAAGAAGAGACATATTCTGAAATGAATCAGAACAATAGATTATTTATATTTTCATAATCAAGGATTTCTCTGATTTATGCAAATTTTAATTAAACAAGATATTTACTATATGTGATATTCAATGGCATAAACTGTATTAAGCGCGAATTAAATCAAAAGTATGATGTTTATTAATAATAAATTGGTTAATACTGTATAAATTTATAGCAATATTATTTGTAGTCTCACTTTTGCTATTTATACCCTCTTTCTAGTAGTCGCCAAAATTCACTAGTTTTAGAAGGATGGGCATTGCTATTTATACCCTCAATTTTTGTGTAATATAAGAAATTATTTCATGTTTTAAGTTATAATATTATTGATTTGCTGATTATACTGGGCGTTTCAAAAGTTCCACTATTTGATTCTTTTTTTTTTTTTTAAGAAAGCTCATTTTTCTAGTTTTTTATTTTAGTAATATATAATTAAGTATATCAGTACAAATTGATACATTAAACTAAGAAAGTAGAAGTTAAAAATAATTTATCTTCAACTAATTCTTAGCTAAAATGGTTAGTCTATGGGTTCAGAAGGAGAAGTATAGTTAAACTGTATAAATCTATTGAGTTATGTTATGTATTGCCTATCTATGAGATTTGTAGATATAAAATTAGTATTAGTGTTAGAAAAGGTTGGCAGAGAAGAAGTAAAATGTTGAAGATATCTTTTGCTTGGTTTTCAAATATATTTATATATAGATATTAAGTAATAACTTTGATTTTTTCTTTAAAAATCTTAGATTATGTAAATTATTTGTTATGATTTTGATTAGAATTTTTGATGTATATAAATGTCTTAAATTTCTTAAACTAAATTATTTGGTATAGTTATTTTGATTTTATTTTCTTTACAGATTTTGATAGTTGATTTTTTATTATTTTTTTTAGTTTTATTTAGTT